TGGATGATATTCTCCCTGACGTAGGTACGAAATGGTTTAAAGTTCTAAAGTCAAAAGCGATTGTTCTGCTGTTGTAGTATTCTACGTAAGGTGTGAAGTGAGAATTTGTACCTGCATGATTTACAGATAGACGATCGGTAACATATAAGGTAAATGTCATACACTTTGTAAAGTTAGCATACAGCGCCAAACATATTCCTGACATTCTGAAGCAACCACGTATTACAATATGCACGTTCGCCAAATGTAATACTTTATGATACTTTTAAATAATGATAAAACAAAACAAGTAATACAAGACTTTCAGGGAATTACACTCATCAGTACTTTGATGATTCAGCAACTTATTCAAAAGTGTAGCCAGACATTTAAACACTAAAGCAATATTCGATTTGTATAGTGTCGAAGAACAAGAGGAGACAATGATTTATATAAATGAGGTTTGTTAATTTATTTTTCATCATGTTCAACAAATACTCACACACCAATTATCACAGTAAAAAAGAATCAGTCTGTTACAGTTGGTATGTTACCTAACACAACTGTCAGTCTGACAAGAAATATAGACTAATTTTCAACCATACGCATTTGGGGACCTATATACAGACAAAATAAACATTAGGTGGAGAATAATACTTAAACACACGCGCGCCTTCTCATCTTCATTTGCACGTACGTTTACACGTGTTTAACAATGCGATATATTCATTTATATATATATTCATACAAAAGAGTACAAACAATACAAATAAGAGTATGAAGTGACATTAGCTTATGATAATGGAAGTATTACTTCATTAAGCAAACTTTAATTTGTAAAAGAAAAAGGTGTATCCAGATCAGTCTATACTGTTACGATTAAAATCAATGATATCTGACATCAATTATACAATTTACCATGACTCGTTAAGACATTCACTGTCATATTTAGGATAAAGAATGGTAGTGAATAACGAACATTTCACACAAGAAGAAGAATTTTTGCTTTTTCACCTCTGTGTCTGTCGCACTATCGTCATGTACGAACTGAATGAGTATAATATAACACTGCAAAAATAATAATAGGGCAATATTTTGTAAAAACATTTTTATGGTTTGAAAGCTTTTCGGGAAAATATACTACATCACGACTTTGTCCTTTGCATATACGGGATAAAAGTTTAAAGCTTTGTTTGCTATGAAAAGGTCAATTTAACGGGTGCAGTATCACGTTGATAAAAAACAGTAAAATAGTTCGGAATTGACTAGGTGAGAAATAATGCTAATGTGCATGAAGCACGAATAAAAAAATTAAAATTAAAAAAGACCCCTCCAAAAAAAAAAAAAAAAAAAAAAATAAAACAAAAACAAAAATAAAAAGCAAAAACAAAAAAGAAAAGAAGAAAAAAAAAAAAAAAAACTCAAGAGAAAGGCCCCAACAAACAAAACAAAAATGCGATACAAGTGCAGAATGCAAGAGACTTTCTATTTCCCGTTGTACGTAAAACGTGTTGTAAATAGTGACCATCTATCATTTTGTATTCATCAGTCACTAACGTAATAATACCCATCTCTGTTGGACAGCAATTTCAGTCGACGCAGTAAAAACTTAATGTTTAATTCCTCGAAACTGGTACAGAAACATTTTTTATCTATATTTTCTCAGTGCTTTGTGTAACGAGAATGAATCAGAAATTTCTTTACCAATTTAAATTATTACCATCAAAGGGACGACGATGAAATATGATATTAAGTATAGCTAGTACAAAACGCTAGAATTCATATATTGTCAAATTGTGTTTGATCTACGTAACCGTATATCGATTACCTGATCTCATAAAATGTTACCCGATGATTATTGACAATGATCGTCTTAATATATCAATAAGTAATCTATAAAGAGATTAGCTATCTGGGTATATAACACACTTTTTTGTAACTTAAATTATATAATCAAGTATATTGTACTCAATTAATACTGTATTCTTGTTTTTAATTTAATGAGTAAAATATGTATCCGTCCGACTCATGAAAGGTGCATCAATAAATGTTATGTTAATGAAACTTACAGCGATGAATATCTTTCAATACAGATAGAGTCTTATCGGACTGGTATGAAGAGCTATATTGACAAAACACACTTATTCGTTATATCATGATTAATGTTATACCGCATTGTATAAAACACATATTAGAGATAAGGTCTTCTATATCCCAGTGTCGGTTCGTATATAGCTAGGACAAAGAGTGAAATAAACCTATTATAACCAGGCTATGTTACAGTATAAATGATACTTTACCAGTAGATTTAAAGTCAACAATTCCCCGATGTCACATATCAATATGACACTATATGCTTAGTAAATCATTGATTCTTTTATCATTCACATCTTAGATATGTGTAGTTGTTTGTTTAAAAGTATCAATCTTCTTATAATTACAGTAAAATACAATTCGAAGATTTTCTTATTTCTTAGAAAACAAATGAGTGAACCTTTTTAATAAAACTCATATGTAGGCCAATTATCTTACTTCATTTCACTTGATTGCAATAAACGATAGAAATAAAGCATATTTTCTGTTTCCAACATTTCCTTTATGGTGAAACTACATATTACCTTGTTACTTACGTCATGCAACAAAGTAGGTGATAGTACTTAACAATGACAACCTAGTCAACTGGAGAAAGCTGTGCCGACGTGTAAATAATAACAAAATTAGTCAAAATGAACACAAACATAGCTGAGTATTATACCCGTGGTTATTTTCTAAACACAGCGTGACGTCTGGTCACATATACACTGTGTGAACAATCGTTTAGCTTATAACTGTATCCGCATTACAAAAAAAAAAAAAAAAAACAAACAAACAAACAAACACAAAATAGAAAATATCCTCACAAAAAATAAAAATAAAACAAATGTGAAACAATGTTGTTCATATGTGTCATGAATGAGACGAATACTTCAGTATCGAGCTATAATTTACAGATTTTGTGACATAAACAATTGCTGTTAAATCGGTTGTATAAAACATTATAACATATGGTTATGATGACTATTGCTTGCTGATGTCATTGTTGAAAGTTTTTTCTATGATTTATAATGCATAACAGTGCAACTACAGCTCCAGATAGCTTTACCTATCCTCGGTATCTTCATCAAGTGTGTTTTGCAGTGGAACATCTACATTTGAGTGGCCTGGATGCGTCTAGCAACATGTTTGATATAGCGATAGTTTGCACATGTAACATCAACTAATGTAAAGCGGGTTTAAGATATGGATGGCTTCATCGATACCAGTTGCAGATTTTCCCATTAATATAACCAGGATTGCACAAGAGGGCGGGGTAGCAACCATACTTGTAGCCCAAGCACCATATTTAATTATGTTACCGTGAAGATGAGGTGAATTACTACTCCGTTTGTAGTATCCAATGCTGTTTTCCTTCCACTATGTTCTTATATTGCTAAACATATATTTCGGCGAAAAAAATACACAAATATTTATTGTAATGTTGATATAATAACCGGTTACTAACGTCACTCTCCGAAATTGATATTGCATTCTGTAACATTACATGGAGGTTTCCAGTTATATGGCTTGTATCAGTGCGAACAATTTAGCTTGCATTTGTAATGTAGTTTTGCAAGGAAAAAAGAGCAGGCCATAGGGAAATATACAAACTGTTTTGTTTTGCTTCCGGCTGGGCTATTAAAGAAATAACTGTAAAAAAATTTCATAATCATTATTTCCCTGCACGTTTGTGACACTACTTTTTAGTGTTGAAAATAAATCGACATCGTCACCCATTATTATAACCTTTCACGGATGCCAATTGTGGTTGCAGATACACCCAGTAGTGTAAATGATGTTGTTACTGTCGTTATATAATATTTCTAAACGCTCTTCATTGTTATACTATAGAAAATACGTTCATAGGTATATGAAATGCTTACTTTCGTAATGTTTAAACATTGAATGATAAATAGCCATGACATAATTTTCTAAATTAATCACACATTAATAAACAAATACTATCATTATATATCTGCAGATACCCGGTCAAGATGAAATCGAAATAAAATACTAATCACTGTTAAATTTTGTTTACGAACTTGGAAATAAACACAAACATGGAAAACACATAATTTAACATGTACATCATGTCGGCTTTATACAACAATAAGCTTGTTCTGCGTATCGCAGTAGTATTACAACTGTGATACTGTAATACAGGTGTATTATTAGGTGTTATATTACCTTAAAACCATCACTTATATACACCAACAAACACCACATCAAGTTATATAAATAGATAAGTCCTTAAAGAGACGGAGTGAACCTGAGAATAGATGATATCAAATGATATGAAATACGTTGTGTTCAATTATATGTTGATTTTGAGAGATAGATAAGGGATTTCAAGTTAATTTCACAACATTCACTATTTGGTTGTTTTCTATTTGTGTTTCATTAACTTCCGGAATGACCATACACAGAGGATACTCTATATCGCTACAGCCATATAAATTCGAATAATAGACGTATATCCTTGCTTTTTCCATTTTCGGTGACATCACTAGTCACTGGTGCGTAAGGAGCAGTGCTAGATAAATGATGATCGTGTTGTGGCCATTTGAAATAATTTCCAGAAACTGAAAGGTTTTTTCCCATTGTCATTGTGGTGGGAATAACGGTTACCATCTTGTAACATACATCCATATTGTGAGATGTTATATTTCCGTGTGGCCTACAAACACAAATCACAACCATGACCAGAATTACGTCACGACCCTATATGACCGAATATGGCCAGTAAGTATCTGATTTCACGTCCTTTATCTTGGTCTGTATATGGGAACACTACCGAACATCACGTCCAATCGTTCCCCTAATAGGGCGAAAAATATACTTAATTCCGGAGTGATGATCGCAGTGGCATGTTTGGACGAATTTACAAGAGGTGTATATCCATAATAAAGGCACATTTCAATAGATATTTAGACGTCCTAGTTATGTCACCTAACCGCCAATACAAATGATAGGAACAGTAATACACAGTTTGTTGTAAGGTGTGCTGCGTTACTTTCTCTGGTTTCCTGTGGACTATCGTCTGGATTAGGTGTTCCTGAAACATAGAAAAGGCACAGAATTAATAAAAATTCCTGCAAGTTTATAACCATTCTGTCGAATACTAACTTACAAACAGAATACAGAATAATAGTATAGAAGATATCCAACTGCGTTTTCTTAGTATACAAAAGCAAATGACATTATCTCAAGTTAATGTCCGAAATATAAAGGACAATATGTCATTAATTTATCTGAATGTGAAATTAAACTACTTTGTGACCTGTTTTCGATAAATTCAGCCTCATATGAAAACAAATACAAGTAGGCTAACAAAGGGACGCAGTTGACATATGTATGCCAATAGTCTTTTGGAAGGCCTTACCACCAAACCCGACGACGATGTTGCTAAATAGAAATTCGACCAGCTTTATGTACAGATACTTATTCATGATAAGACATAAAGATCCCTTCTTGGTCCAGTCTATTGACCAAAGGACCGGGATTGTATAAACAGATAATGTAGCAAGTCAAATTCTACTGAAATATAACCAGTTCTTGAAAAGTCATTTAAAGAAAAAACATATTTATAAGGACCGAAAACCGCCACACAACGTCAGTTTACTACTGCTATTCTGATAGATGATCTTAGCAATGAGCCAGCATCACCCACTATGGAGCATATACACATGAAACATAAATTTGTTATCAGTTGTAAAAGTAGATAAGATAAAAAATGCCAAGCCAAAGAAGGCCATATATTCACAACAATGCTTTCGGTTTATGATATTGTGCAGCAGATGAATGGTGATTTATCTAATTTCTCAATAGAACATCTATAGTGTTTAGGCATGTAATTATAAGTTATTTCTTTGTTAAAGTATTGTTATATCCAGTTCAATATCTGGATACCGTTTTATGTAGAAGGTTTTCCAATATCAACGTCAGTATCTAGTTCAACAATTCCTGTATTTGGTTGAAGATTTCCTCTAACCAGGCCGGTATTTGGTTGTTCTGCAGAATTACTTTAACACCCAATGCAGCATGTGGTATAAACTATTTGCTATATACAGTTCAGTATCTGGTTCATGTCTTGTGTAAACATTTTCATTAACTCTGTCCATAATTTGGTTTTCTATACTCTGTACAGTATTTAGTTAATGTCCTGTGTAGGAATGTTTCTATGTTCAGTACAATATTTGATTGCTGTTCGTGTGGAAATGTTCCTAGACTCAGTACAGTACTTGGGCGACGTTTTGTGTAAAATTCTTCCTATTTCTGTAAATTATTTAGCTGATGTCCCGTGTTTAAGTTTTCGAATATTCAGAACAGAATTTGATTGTATTGTCTTGTAAAGATGTGTCCCATACCTAATACAGTATTTAACTGATGTGTGAAAGTTTTGATAAACATAATCCAGTATTTGGTTGATAGTTTGTATATAAAATCTAATCTTGTTTATTGCAGTATTTCATCTATTTCTTCCCTTTGATTAGTACAACATTTGGTTGATGTAATTTTTCCTGTACCCCGTTATAAAGTTAATGTCTCCTGTAGAAGTTTTCTTATACCTAGTACGGTATTTGGTTGATGTTTTGTTTGGAAATCAATCTAAGCCCAGGACAGTATTTAGTTGATGTCTTGTGCTGACGAATATTTGATGTGCAGACTTTATTGTATACATTGTCTTATATTTGATTGATGTCTTGTGTAGACGTGTTGCTACATCCACTTTTTTTATTGTTAAGATGAATATGTTTTTTCAATAAATCAGAACTTGCTCAACCCGTGTTAATCTGATTAGGGAATATAAATTAGTGTCTATAGTCTAAAACTTTAATTGATTTGCACGACAGTAATGAGTTGAGCTCACTTGAAGATACATCTATTTATCAACATATCTACGGTCTGTTTTTTCTTTCTTCTTTTAAAAAGATCTTTTTTTTCGTTTTTGCTTTTTTAATTTCTTTTTTAAAATATTTATTTGAATTTCTTTGTATGCGTTTAAAGAGTACACTTTATGTCATGTATGTCATTTGGTTTTGTTTTTGATTATTCCAAAATCAAAGATGAAAGAAAGTCTTTTTTGATACAATATTTTCAGTTCTGTCTTTGACCGTTTTTGTTTCAACACCATATCAGGAGATAGACAAGGTTTTTCTTTACATCGATTTTAGTTATCATATGTAGAATCTAGCTCTTCAAAGAGAAACTGACATTATGACCTGAGTCGTTCATCACAGTATTAATCTGATCTGACATGCAACTGACACACTGTTCCCGTCTGGAATAGACCGAGACAGTGTTCACTTTCACCATAACATTGTATAGACATTTTCACAAGTCATATCCGCTATCAAGGGTCGGACTATCTTTACACGTATATATAGGCTATTTCAGCAGTTGAATGCAATAGCCCGTGAGCAACTTATTTAGTATTCTAGAAACCAGATAACATTTATTTTAATTATAACAGTTGTAGCGTTTGCCACATTAGTTCTCTTGATAACAAATAGGTATAAATATTTACTGGTAATCCTGATAAAGAGCCGCTGGGGAATCTCAGTCCTGGAATATGTCAGGAAATCTGCATACAAATATTTTTCTCAATTCTAAAACATAATTATGTGTTTAATAATTCAGTTTTGTTGACGTCTATCAGTAGATTATAAAATCACACACACTGTCATATAAACAGTTTAGATACACTACATAATACCCTCAGAAACAGTTTCATACAACTCTCCTGATCATTTATTCCGAATTCACAGCGACAATCCCAAAAAGACAATGTAACCATGTTGGTTTAGAACCCCCATCGCCCCCCCCTCTCTCTCTCTCTCTCTCTCTCTCTCTCTCTCTCTCTCTCTCTCTCTCTCTCTGTGTGTGTGTGTGTGTGTGTGTCTCTGTGTCTCCCCCTCTCTCTCTTTCTCTCTTCCTTCCAACAATCGAGAAAGCAGCAGTTTCCTTACTTGCTATGTAATTAAGAAATATTCTTTCTCGCTTATGAGGTAATTCATGCCCAGCATTTCCTGCTATGTGACATTGAGATGCGCCAACTTTATCATTCAACACTTCGAAGTCGGCATCCTTTCCGCACCATTATAATTAGGCTTAGACTATCATGTCGTAGCTTCCCGAATAATTCATTCACGTAGCTTCAAAGCACACTAGGAAACACAATATGGCCTGATGGGATCATGATAAGATCATAAAAGTACCTCTTCGTCTTCATCGACCTGTGTCTCTCATAAACATAAGTTGGAATTTTGGGCTTAGCAAACTTTTACAGAAATCGTGATGTTTTGATAACAAACCCTTAATGATCGAATCAGCTGTGGTATGCCATATCGTTAGTCTGGGAAACAGGAATGGCACTATTTAGAAACGGAGAAAAGAACAATATAACAAGGCTCATACTTCCTCCTGGGTCTTTGACAGCATTACGTTTAAAAGTGCACGTGTCCATATAAGATCAATGTGGATGGCTGATATAGAATTTGTCCTGTTCTTATTTTTAAATCTGCTTGGTATCAACGATTGATAAATATGTATCCAGGTATGTATAAACGAGATAGTCAATAAATAAACAGGGTTTTGATGGACCTTATAAAGCAAGCCTACTGTGACAACAAAAAACAAGTCTACCAGGGGAAAGGATTATTTTGTTCCCATGTCTCATACGTTGGTCTGTTGGAAGATCTTACGGTTGCTAGAAGTTCGATCAATCTCAATATTGCGTCCTCAGTATATTTAATTCTGTCTTCATTTGTACTGTTCACGAAATACGCTCTGTTAAAGTTCACAACCATATACATAATGTGTACTTTTACCGCCGTTTGCATTTCTTTGATTGATCACGGAATAAATGCATTCCCTTAGTTTGGAATGAGGAATTATGCTGAACAGAATAAAATTTGAAATATTCTTATGGAACCGAGTTCGTTTGCAAAAGTGTATATCTAAATTTGGTCAAAGTCTCCTTTTAGATTCTTCATAATTCACATGCCGTTAATTCCAGTCCTCGAACATATAGCATTACTACATACATCAACTATAAAGTCTAGGATATTATGGGTCTCCTGTTATCTGAATCTTGGTCAATCTTATCAGATTTAATGCTTAGAGAATCGGTACTAGGTATATGTAGATAAGTGGACGTGGGTATGATCAGTGTTTGCTCTGTGTTTTACTGTCTAACGCTAATTACGTTTGGCTGATTGTATTGCAGTTGTCTATGCAATTTATTGACACTTTCGTTATTCTGAATCGGAGTACTTTTAAACAAGTATAGGGTATGAAATTTGTTGACCACGTCCATCGTACCAACCAGAATTGGAATTCAAAGACAGTCAGACTCTTCTACATTAGCCACTTATGTCGATCCGTTTCCACATCCTCACCAAGCTGTATGATATGCATAGTGATTTCTATTTTCTCGTTGTGAATTTTCCATTTCTGGGTAGCAACAGTTGATAGCAATAGCTAAAGTAGTCGATAATACATGGTCATTACCACAATATTCGTGCAAGAATTAATCCACTGCCAGGCAAACTGAGAATAAAGAGTTTCAATTCCGGCTGATGAAAATAACAGAGTAATTCTACTGTCGTCATAGTTAAATCACTTACTTGGATTGACCAATTTTAACACAGTGGATATTGTCTATGAAGCAGAAGACATTTTACGTTTTCTCCTTGTACATTTCAGGAGTCTCCTCGCAATTCACTCTTTTGATCATAGTTTGCCCCAGTTTGTTTGGATTTGAGTATAAATTGTGATTATGTTGGCATGTTGATATTTTCTGTCCATTGTTTTTTTTTTTTTTTTTTTTCAACTACAGATATTTAATAGGCACTTAGTTCAAATGTGCGTTTAGACTTAAACTAGCAAATCGTCTTTCAAGTACATATATACAAAATTGTACATTCATTAATTGATATTATGTTGGTATATCGATTTTTCGTGTTAGTTCAATACACAGATATTGCTATCACGCATCATTCGAAATCAAATAATGAACACGTGTTAAAGATACAATAGATTTACATATAATTCGTTTACAGTGGTCAGTCAGTATATCATTGCATAATGTCACACTAACAATTTGTTTATAAACATTATGTGGAGTAGTAAAGTTACATGATGTCTGGTACGAGATCTTGTGTGTCGTGATCAACATCCGTCATCTCCAGACAGTCTGCCTTCTGGTTAATAAAGACATTTCCTTTTTACAAGAACTTTATCGCGAAATGTTATATTGTGTTAGACTAGGCAAATCCTTTTGGGTATAATTTACTTAGGCATCGTGCCAACCCGAAACCTACCTAACATGAAAAGGTCTTGTTCAACATGCCATAAAAATGTGTAGCTTTGACAATTATCATCTTTACATTTGTAGTGACCCCCTGAAGAATTCCATGCACTGGATCCGAGTGTGATTCACAGTTACCCAACAGAACACAGTAAGTGTCTATTAACTGTGGTTAAAAAAAAGTTCAAGATGGACGGTTTTAAATTAGACGCTCGAAGAATGCAATAAAAGCAACCCTTTCACACACAACTCAGCAGTACAGGTCAAGCATTTTGTAATGCCGATGTTTTAGTTATTTTAGAAGTGGATTTAGAATGATTTTTAGAATGGAGTTTTTATGCTTCCTTACTACATGTATGTGATCGAGTGCAAGTAAATAAAAGAATGGAAATGTCAGTACAGATAGAAGATAAGGTAATGAAGGGGACATGTGTAAAGACAAAGTTGAAAAAAAAAAAAAAAAAACGATACATGTGCAGATCGACGCAACCGGAATCAGCGTATCCGGAATACTAACAAAAATGTTAAAGTATAAAAATCCACGCTGTGATACATATACAAGTAAGTTCATGATAGCAAGGATTGTTTTAAACAAATGACTATCCTGTTATCGCAAGCATGTCAGGTTATATAAAAATATAATCTAAGTTATGATAAGAGAAGGTTACAATGAAGTTTCGTATCGACAAAACCAGAAATGCTCTCCAAAGACCGACTTCATATAAATAAATATATATATAACGTACCACAGTATCATTAAATCACAATGATTGAATACTTGGACATATTTAGAAAGTAGGAACAGCCAAACCATCAATGAAGAAGAAAGAAAAATATTTTATATAAATCATTTGCTTCAAAACTTAAACTTATAACATCACAATAGCACCTAATCTATGATATTTTCTCTATATTTCATATATTAATGGCAAATATACATCGAAAGTTATACTAAAGGTCTGAAAATACAACGAAAAAATGTTCCGAATCAGTCCCTATTATGATAATGGCATGCAACCATAACGCTTCCATCGTCTGCAGTAGTATTGTTGTAATCGTCCTCAGTCAAGAGAAGTCATAATATATTGTTGTTTTGATTATTTGCAAAGTTGCAACACAATTTAGACGTTTTTTGCAGAGTCAGTTGTTGGTGTTCAAAAAAGAGAATTATATATTTTTCTTACAGGTTTAACCCTTTACCCGTATATATATTGAAAATGTGGTGAGTTTCCCGTGCCCAGTAAATTTAGAAAAAAGTTGAAACACTGGAAAACACCTGATGTGAAACGTAAGCCCTTTCATTTCTTCTTCAGATGTTTTACAAATTTACATAGATATGTCATGAATATCGTTGAATACCGTATATATGTTAATATGTAAACATCTGAAGAAGAAATGAAAGTGTTTATGTTTTACATCAAGTGTTTTCCAGTGTTGTAAGTTTTTTTTCCATATGAGACCATTTTAAATGTTGTATTGAACGTAACTATTTGCATCACACATAGTTGATGTCGACTAAAACTTTTAACTTATTGATGAATGATGTATCTCAAGTAACCTCTTATGGCAGAATGACATGATCCTAAAAGCATGTTATGATAACACAATATTGCTTCGAAACTACATATCTTTAAAATTAGCTTGACGCATTAATTACATTTTTTCGCAAAGTGTTATGAATTACCGCAAAAAATTTAAAAAATATAAATATCTTCAAAAATGACAAATTTAGTTTGCGTCCGTGATAAAATGTTGTCAATGTCTCAAAATGTCTGTCAGATGCATAACATATCTGATTTGACGCTTTTCTATCCTTCCGAAACACATAAACAATACCGATGGGATATAAAAATATCATATATGCTTGCTGTTAAAGATTGAACTATCAAACTGTGAAAAACTGCCAGCCTACCAACATGACAAGAGCTTCTTAAATCAACTTTCAAGTTGATAGAACTAGTGCAAATTGTTAACAAAGGCAAGTCTTACAAAGATACAAAAACAAGGAGAATAAGACCAGCTGTTCTGGAAGGTACCACATCCTCAGCATCATAGACAATAAGTGTATATTCTAATAGAATAAAAATCTTCTGCTTATACTTCATATTGTTTAACTCAATTTACCACAACACAATAAAGAAACAAAAACACTTGCTAGTGCTAATCTGATGGCACACAAAAATACTATGACACTTGTAAAGGAATAAGAATTCGACCTTATACGTACATCCACACTGACATTTATCCTATGGCTAATTAATATTTGTACTGTAAGGAAAGAGAATCACAAGAAACCGATAAAACATACATTTTAACTACTCCGATAGGAAAAAGTAAAATGAAGGAAAATCAAATACCAATCATTTGGAAAAGTTCTACTTACGCGAAGGTTCGTAATCTGGAATTAAAATAACGGCGGTTAATTCTTATATTTATGAAATACTAATATGTCGATTGATTAAAAAACTTATGAAATTAGGGCAAATTATGTTCAAGATTGATTTTATATGGGTATTCTTTGAAAAAAAAGTTAAATAACATCAGATGTTCCGTTATATGGATCTTGTTTTGCTGCTGCTTTGACGACATATGTAATCCTTGGTCATATCGCACAAGGAGGTACATATTAAGAGACAACAACATAACTGTCATCCGACTTTCAGCAAACTGTATCTCTCGAAAACCGGTATTGTAAATGTATTTGTCGATTTTCGATATCTGACATGAAAACTGCAATGATTTACAAAAAAAAGTGTGCACACGTATGCAAGAATCGTTTTGAAGTATATGGGAAATAGGAGATAGGAGATATATTAAAACATGGATAGACATGCTAATCTAATTAGATGTTTTGTGTTTATGCCCTGAAACAGTTTATGTTTCATTGGTTTTGTATGCAATTCTATACCGGTGCACTATCAAATGTAGTTTCACTTCCGCTTCAGTGACAGTGACATGTTATTGTCACTTTGAGTTTGGGTGACATCGGGGGATGATGATGCAAATAGTGACAGTAATACTATCCATGTATCAATAGCACTCACGTTCCCTGTAATGCCCACGATCGCTGTTAATCTGCTAAAGAAAATTACATCGTACACAACATTTAGGATATCATATTTTCTCTTCCGCATAACAATTATTGTCTATCTGTACCTTGAGACTGCCTTACTATTGGCCTATACTTGATTGTTCGTTCTTGTGAGGAAAGCTTTAGATCCTGGCCACAGACCAGAATCTATAAAAATGGAAGTTACAACTAAACGTTTGACGGTCGGGTTTGTGGATGTGTATGTGTAATTGCGCTTATTGTTAGTATTACGTAATCGATTTGGGTCGGCAGTATCATTAAGGGTAGTAGCAATATAAAGTCTTTTGAAGTTCCTTAAAATCGTAAAAAAAGCTTACTCGAAAATTGGTCTAACCTGCCGCACACAAACAAGAGACAACACTTTATTGACCAAAGATGTAGATAAGACGTTTTATGATATAAAAACAAAGTCTAATGTTTTATCATGAAGGTCGCAATTTAACATTTAAAATCGTCCAGAAATGTCGCCATTTCTGAAAAATAATTACCAAGACTGTTTCAGCAACGCTTCCCTTGGGCTAGTTTTTACTCATGTCATGCCAGATATCTGAGCATATCTACGTTATATCAAACCAACTTGGATGATGTTACCGGTGTGATCACTATTTCATCTACATTAATGGGATTGAGCTAGTTTTTGCATTCAGCTTGATCATTTAGACTATGAAATTTACTTGAAAATTAAGATAGAATACTGTGTTTACGCTTTTGTGTAAAAGATGCAAAATCCACGCAATGACATATAAAAAAAGAAATGTAATTCCTCGTATGGTAAATCTTTAACCTAAACATTTTATAGCTTTCGAACAGAACTTATTTTATTTGCAGGAAATAACTATGTGCTACTTATCGATGTAAACTTCCAAGAACAGATGTACTTATTAACATACCCAACGCTAAATATAAGGCAAAACATGTATCAGTAGAGCTTTTGTTTTATTGTCTAAAGCTTGATAAGACAGCAGGCAAACAAAGGATGACTATGGGTGTAAACGTGTTATCCGTACTTTCTACAAAACGTATATTGTAAATGTAAACATTTGTTAGATACTGAATTAAGTTTGTAAAACATGTAAGACGAAGAACAAATAGAAGTCGTTTGCCATCAGTACCCGTTATGTTTTTATTTTCTAGCATTAAGAGTTTTATTATTGAAAACAACGGTAAACCTCACTTTCGCATGTTTCGTGGAAAATAATAATTTGAGGAAACATCCGTATTACGTTAAAACATGAGAATACTCCCAGAGAATAAGAAGCGTTTTAACTCCAAGTCTGTAGAGTATTACATATATGTACATGCATACCTCATCAGTATTGCGAGAGCAGTATCTGCAACAATTCAGCCTTTAGTCTTAACGATTTATATATATTTCACTTAAAATTAATTGATAAAAGGTTTGGTTTGCTTCCGTTTAACGTCCAATTAACAGCCATGACATTTAAGGACGACATTCCTATGTATGCAAAGTTAGTACCTGTGTTGAGTGCCCGTGTTGATTGTGTGTGTTTATGTAGGCTTTGTATCCGTGCTATTCTCCCTACGATTGTCCGAAGCGGAATACGACTTTAAAGTGTTATCATACTGAAGCATACTATCAAAAGCTCAAAACAGAGGTCCATTTCCGATCACAGTGAACTAGCCGCTTAACTGCCATCATACTGGCCAATGTAGTGTGAGCATGAAGCATGGATATCTACCATTAGTATATACTCAAGTACACAAAGGTCAGTTGCTGAAACCTTCCTTACAGGCGCGAAACAAATCAACTGTTAGCCAAAATGGAGGATTGTGTTAAATCTGCTGTAACGATGACAAACGATCACGCTTCAGTTACATTGCAATACCATGTCGCATCTAGACTTCCAAAATCACTATCAAATATTTTAATGACATCTACATCGAATTTCATTCTACAGCATCCAAAGTCATGTACCATTTGTAAAATGATGTGGTCCCACATGCAAATCCTCAGACATAAAGAGAAAGCTTCGAAATATTCACATGAGGCTAAGCCCTACAATCACACGGCTATATCAAGATTTTGGTTATTTCCTTGAACTCTACATGTCCTACAATATCTTATCATGATTTGATAAAGGCTCGACAACCTGGCTGTCACAAAAGAAGTCTAACTTAATTCGGTGGAGAATTATTGACGAGGGCGCACGTCTGACCACAGAAAGCCAAGACGGATGTACAGTTAAAGAAATCCTTTTCTCATAATTTCACTTTTCTAAGTGAATTTGGTCTCAAGGACATACCAATGTTTGACTAGATATTTTGTATTATGTCTATGTGTTTCCTTTATCATACAGTTTCGTCAATGGTTGTGTATTGTGCGAAACACTCAATGACTCCAATACATTTCATTAATCAACTTCTGTTTAAGGAATAAACTTCTTCTAAGAATTATTGAACGACAATTACACGTCAGTTCCAAACGATATGAAGTTCATAGTGGAGGGCGAGAAGTGATCATATAATACTTTTACTGACTTTTTTATTTGCGACACGCTGTTTGGGAAAAGAGAAGGAAATTCAATAAATTCTCGCGTTAGAAAAAAATGCAATCACTTGTTTTGACATGTTCACAATGATAAGCTTTATTTTTATTTAATACTGTTGGTGATCAATTTTAACGAAATTATACATAACTAGTATAAATATGGGGGATTGTTTTACACCGTCAACCCTACTCCATGTAAAACTAAAAAGAATTTTGCTATATCTGTGATAAATAACAGAGTCAGAAACACATATTACACATAAACTTACCAATTAGAAAATCGTCATTGACAAAACTGAAAACTGGTATATAACAAACCCCAAATGAATATCGTTAACATCAACACTGGTAAATGTCACCTTCATAAAATATTAGTTTTTTGTGTGTGTAATTACAGGTTTGATTGTAAACATGTCACAGCCAGATCCCTTTTTCGCACAATTCAAAATTAGATTAAATTTAAAGTAAATCGCGTTGTAAGGATAATCGTCCGTTAACCCTGGGACAGGAAATGTAGATGTGTTAAGGTCTTAGAGGTCATTATAGGATTAACTGTAGATATAGGTTCAAACTGCCCTGTACATTAAGCAACCAAATGGAATGTCAAGCTGCCTTGTCCAACGTTTCACTGTGCTAGGTATGTAAATATATCAGTCATTATCTGTGAACATCGCCAGCATAAAACCGTTACTCAATGTGATGATATTAAAACGAACATCATGTTCGGCAAATAAATTTGTGAGTATGGTGTTTTTGATTTATCAGTTTGTATATATGCGGTTAGAATTCACTTGAATTCAGTGAGCAGCAATGCTAACTGTGATGCTTTTTCTGTCACCAATAAACGAACACGTGACGATAGGAATCAATTCTTGATAACAATTGATTTTTTTATAGATACGGACGTGATTGTTTTGCAATATTCTATTGCTGTGAATTTTTAACCCAGAATATCATTTTTATCCCATAAATCTCACAGATACCGCTCTTTTAGTGTTTGATTATCAATTAAACGTTATTGCAAAATGTAATCACACAGTAGTAAACTAAAAATTAATCATATTTTAAAATCTCCTTTTTTTTGTTTTATCTATAGAAAATGATGTTCAGTGAGCCATTACATGACATATCCATTTCCGGGTGAGACATCGAGTTATAAAAAGTGTTTTTTTTTAACCTTAGGCGTAACAAACGACTTGAGCTGAACGCCGCATAAAAAAAAACAGTATTAATTTGTTGCACCTTAAATTCCGACTGTTTATCGGGCCTTGTACTGAACAGCTGCGTCATGGTTAGAAAAAAACGGTTTACTAACTCTTAGCAAAGGGAATTGATTTAGCATACCAAAAATGGACTCGGTGAGTCTTTAATCCTTAATTCCGTTGATTGGCCAAACCAAAGCAATTATTTATCTTTGATTTCTTTCTTTATGGAATACGTTCGGATGTTGAACAAAACACATATGATACTGTAATTCAAAACAGGTATAACTTTCATATTTAAAGCTAACTATGCATTCCCATATCTGATTACGGTTCGAAAAGTCTAATTACATTTATACCAGCTGGTTATAGTGTTGAAGTATACGCAATGCCTAATCTTGTCTAAGAAAGCGTTGCTCCGGCAGAATAGTTTATGTTGTACGTAATCTTTTACGCCTACCTTTATTCTTTACTATTCTTTGCACCTCTCCTACTACTGTAATTGGTAATTGCCAAGAACAATCATTACCAACAGAATCGCCGTTATAAATATTGAATCTGTACAGACTTAATGATAGCAGGGGTTTTCACATCCA